TTCTCGTATCGATCGATCCGACAGGCAGGTATCTTCCAATACTCACAAGTCCACTTGCTGACAAACCTCGCAGGGCGTTGGACATCTTGATGATGACCTTGCACGGTGCAAAAGAAAGAACGCTAGGCGAGTGGGAGTCGCTCTTCCACACCGCCGATTGCCGCTTTCAGCTGAAAAGCTGGCATCGATCACAGAGGTCAAACATGGGCACCATGGAATTCATCTGGAAAGACGAGGATGGTAGCATTTCACCGATACGGCCCCTTTAAGACCTTCTGTTCCCGATCTACTGCTGCGCTGATGGACTCATTTTAGCCTCTGGAAGAGCCCGAGGCTGCTGTTATTTGTTTGCGGAAAAGTCTTCGTTTGTAACTCAAGAAGATGCTTGGGTGGCGTGAAGCGTTTTGATTTGAAAGGAAGAAAGCAATCTATGAGCGGTGTACAGTGACCGGCGATTGTGGTGTCTCCTTTTGCGTGTCTTATATCAAGTCTATGACATACATATAAAGAGCCACCCGCCGTGGCGAGCCACAAATGCAGTCTGAACCTTTTCTTGTCCCCCTTCTGCTTACACAAATCTTAACTACTCAATATTCGCGAATAGCCGCTCCTATGTGCCTACTCGGAATCCTAAGGATATGCTGCGATAGCTTAGATCTTACAGTAACATGTACTATACAGTCTGCCGAATTTCAGTCTCTTATACTAATCTCGTGCGTGGTCCGAGATTCTCTCCGATAGCAGAAGCTCTTCCACGCGATGGTGACAATTTAGAATGACTTGCGCCCCTCGCTCACCGGCACAAGGGTCCAAGAGTCCACCACGAACTCTTGACATTCTCGAAGTGAGTGATAAAAGGCTCGTCCGGCTTTTCGACACGACTTGACCTCTTAAACCCGTCAGCATTAGCTTGACGGAGCATCCGTTCCACACCAGTGTGATGATTGTCTTGAGCTGCTTCTATTGCCGAACCATAAGTTCCGTGACCTGCGGCATTAACGTCTGCTCCGGCATTCAACAGAGTCTGCACTATCCGTTCGTTTCCACAAAACGAAGCTATCTGGAGCGCATCTCCCTCCTCATCTCTTACAGTCAAGTCCCATCCGAGATTCACCAGCACTTCTACGACCTTAGGTTCGTCGTTAATGATTGCGCGATTGAGTTCCCGGCTTGCCCGACCACGGCCGTCAGCGAATTCATGTAGGACCTTGTTAAGGTCGGGCACGACATAATCAATCGTACGGGCAAGATAGTACGAGTCCCAGAGTAACCTAATGCAATATGAATACGGTGTCGTATCAGCGTTTCCCTCATTAGCCCACCATCGAGCATAACCCGCCTTGAAATAGACAGTTTCGATATCCTTGGAGAGACTGAAAATGTTCGGATAGGGCAGAACCCCTTTTGTAGATTCGATTGATCGTCGTACGCTTCGGTCTAATGCGGAGTATTGTTGCAACCAGGTGCTAGTAGCATTGCCTCCACTGTCGGCTGGGACACAGTCTTTCCAGATGTCATCACATAATTCTTGCGCCCTGCGACACGAGCATGCAAAGCCTGCTTGTTCGTACGGTGGCGTATCTTCAATGTCAAGTATCATCAACCAGAGCTCCGCCGGTAGGCCAAGGAAGTTGATCTCATATGGGTGCGGCATCGAGGATTGCGCTTGAGAAGCGTGATTTTGTACAGCGCCTGTATGAGGCTCTGGAAGAATCCGGTCATGCAATTCCTTGATAATAGACTGCGTAGTACAGTCACGCACAGACTCCTGTTGGGTTCCTTTGATTCCATGAGTTTTCTCGTACACCTGGCCGGTGGGCAATCGCTCCTGGCCTACAGCCCCTGGCCGGCATGTCGTCCGGCCATGCAAGTCCCCACTAGTGTCTCTCGCAGTACAGTCTTGCACGGATGTCGTCCTATATTCTTTGCGAATCTGGAGATCCCCTGTCTCATGTTGATCTCTTTTCCGTGGTTGTGACTCACTGCAGCTAGAAGGCTTCGGAAGAGCATCCAGTGTCCTACATGTAGTACGCAGTCTGAGAGTTCGCTGGGTCCTTGGTCGCCATGAGCCAACGAGTTCAGACGCAGAGTCCCACTGATGTAATGCGGCGTACAATGGAGAGAGGAACTCATCGATCGTGGATCTGTTGAAAATCTTATGCAACCCTGTTCGATGGTAGAATTGTCTCCTAGCACGGTCTGATACGACAGGTGTCGTGAACAGCATGGTTTCGGGTAAATTCCGATATAACTTTCCCGCCACTGGTCTCTGGTAGACTATGCTGCTCCACAGGGATGGCTTCGGCAACGATTTGAACGTCTGCAAGCAGCCTGCATCCAGTTGAACCATGTTGCAAGAGTCGTTCCCTGATGAGCCTTGTGCAGCATAGGTCGAAGAGAGTGTCGATGCACCGGTCATTTCATAAATCGCAATCTCGACATCAGTGTTACCTATTCTCTGGACAGCTGCAACTTGGCGTATAAAACGCGCTCCTTTCGTCCCAGAAAGGATCACAGGTAACCAGCTATTGGAAAGATTTTCAGGAGGCCGAGAAGGCACTATATTCCACCTTCCACATGGGAACCATGCCGTATCCGGGACCATGGGTATGTATATTGTGAGACTCTATGGCTTCAATATACAAACGCAGACGAATTCCGGGAGACATATAGTCTACAATATTCAAAACCATCCCTGGGCAGCAAGGGGTGTCATTCGGTTGTCACATACACACACACACACACACACACACACACACACTCTCTCTCTCTCTCTCTCTCTCTCTCTCTCTCTCTCTCACTCACTCCCACGGGTCCTGTACTGTATACGAGTCACAATAACACAAGTGGCAACTTATTGGGGCCATCCTTGATGCAATAACCTCCGCCAAAATATGAATAGCAGTATACTGTAAACAAATCCACAGAGCTCAAAGATCGTTGACTACGAATGCTGTCGGTACTGAATGCATAATCTCTTGCGACTCGACGACATTCAAGTACAAGAATAGCTATAGATTGCTAGAATATGCACAACATGCTCCTATAAGCAGAGCGGAATATCAAAAGGTTCAGACTGCATTTGTGGCTCGCCACGGCGGGTGGCTCGTTGTAGGGAGGGACATAAGAACGTCGGTCTCTGTCCTTTCTCTACGCCGTGGATAACGGCAGTTGTCTACTTTCTAGCACTCCAGCTATAAGAAGCGGCAGGAACCGCACCACGCAGTGAATGACTGCTATAGTCTAGGGGCTCTACACAACTCAAGAAGACGGCACGAAGCATTTTGACTAAAGGAAAAGAAGTGATCTGTAAACGTTGGACGGAAAAGTTTCAATATAGAACCATATGTAAGGCCGATTCGACCGTAGCAGGTCACAATTAGTGCCAAAGTCAGCAGTCTCCCTTCGGGTCGTTTCTTTAGTTTCCACTCCACAAAAATTGGTCACTTCGCACAAACGTGAGTAGATAACCTAAGAGAGCCTCGTTCCCCACGGAGGTGCTTTGTAAGAGATCATGAGATTGTGGAAAAAAACGACATCATCTTGTTCGAGCCGGTTCGTATTGTTTTTCGATGCGCCAGAAGCGTTCAATTCCTGCTTTGCGACGTCTGCAGGCACTGCGAGTACAAGCTGATGGAGGAAGGTGGTACAACGAAGAGGCTCTCGTCGACGTCGGCCCTTGCAAAGATTGTGCGCTCTTCGGCCGAGAGGCTTGCCTTTTTGGCTGCGGCTGTTTTGAGGTACTGTTTGATGCGCTGCTGGCTGGAGAGAAGCGCGCCTTCCTGCTGGCAAGAGCACATTCGACTATTGACGTACTCATCATGGCTATCGTCACCACACATGCAACCAGAAGCGGCGTTGAGGGTTGGCAGCCGTAGACCATGGAGCAATGCGGAACTTGAGTTTGGAAGAGCCAGTGGTGAGGATGATAATATGATAAGGCGACGCGACAAGATCTGTAATGAGAAAGTTACTTCAAACGGGATCGTCGTCGCTTTCAAATAGACTGTCTATCTTTGCTTAAAATGTCGAACTTGGTTGAACTCTGATCAATCGTGGCCCCCTTGAGTACATGTCTCAGACCCCCGCACCATTACTGCAAAGTTGCATATACCTGACTGTGTGATGTAAAGAACGGATCTATGCAAGCTCACATTCTTTTCGATGCTGTTCTATTCAGCACCAACATACAGCTACTCGCCTCAGATTCCGCCTTATAACTGCGGCGTTGAGCTGCTGTCGGGGGACTGCAGCCATGCTATACAATCGATGTTCATCGACCACAGGTCCGGTCTCATATCTACTGGTGGGTGCCATGGAGGCCAGACGCCTTCTGTCTCAAGTGTTGTTCAGTCGGGAGATCTGAGCCCGTCCCGGCTCACAGTCAACCCATATGTTCAGACCGACGGCTATTTCACATCGATACAACCAATGGATGGCCAAAGATCGGACTTGTTGGGCTGTGACTTCTGCTCTAGGGTCGTTACTACAACCGTGATAACCATCATGACTGTGCCGTGGGAGTCGAGTGGATTCCACACAACCATTACTAGTGGCATCACTATCACGAAGTATGTACTCGCCTATTCATCTACAACTTCAGGCGCATTGCCGCCAAGTCTAACTGTTGGTCACGACCGGCCCTACACCAATTCTTCTATCCGTCCACCTTCCACTGCTCCGCCATCTTTACACTCCTCGCTTTTACCGCTGTTCGAAGATGGTACGGCTTCTGCGACAGCAGCAAGACCTCTCACCACCGACTTGTCTCGGTATGGGAGCGCAGCTGTCGCGACGACATACCCTCGACTTATACTTGGAACTATAGCGGGAGTCATGGTCGTGTGGATGAGCTGACCTAAAGATCGATCTACGTGTATGACTAAGCTCGCGGCATCTCTAGCAAGCGAATTTGGCGAAGATCGTTCGCAGTTGAGGATAGCAGAGTGGAGCAGTGGAGTTTATCACCATTTAAATGACACATCAAGCATGACCTAGCATCCTGTTGCTGCGTGCTTGTGGATCTGCGTTGAGGGAGGTTGAATCTCGCTTCTTGGAATCTGACCGACCAAAACCGAGCAGTATTCCCCTTTCTCCTCCCATCGATCTACAACAAAATTTCGGTGATCTCCAGCAGTGTTTTTGAAGTCTTACTAGCGTTGTAGTAGTCTGTCAGGGAGAGGAGATCTGCCAATACTCAAATGTAGTCATATAAATGTACTCTTTTAGCTCCGATACTTAAGTACTTCACCAAATCATCTCCATCATCTCACTGCACTCTTCGTGACTGTAAATCTGTGCTCCTTGTGGTACCATGGGCCTCGCCAGAACTACTGTTGCCATCGGCCTGCTTTCGGCAACCGCTTTTACGCTTACGGGAGGAAAGATCATGCCTCCCAATGTTCTAGATTGTGTCAGTGAATTACATCCACATCCGCTACGCTCAAATTCACCGCACTGACCAAGGACAGTGTCTCAGGTTGGATAGAGGACATCCTGGACAACTGGTTTGGCCGTCTAGTAGCTCCTATGCCGGCCTGGGCCAGCGTTGGTCAGAGGCAGCCCAGCTCGGACCTTCTTGCATCTTCCAACCTATATCGGTGGACGATGTATCTACAGCTCTTCGGACATTCATGATTGGCGATTGCGCTTTTGCGGTCAAATCCGGAGGCGGCGCCCCCAACGCCGGCGACAACGACATTGATAATGGCATCACCGTTGACCTTGGGGCTTTGAACGACGTCACTGTCGCATCGAATGGCCAAGTCGTTCAGACAGGATCCGCGACCATCTATTACCAGATCTTGAAGGCACTCGACCACACCGACATTAAAATTCCTGGTGCTTGCTGCAACTGGGTTGCCACCAGCGGTCTGGCGCTTACCGGCGGGATCTCTATGTTCTCCTCCCGTGCTGGATTTGTCGCCGACAGCATGGTCAACTTTGAGGTAGTATTAGGCACAGGCGAAATCATCAACGCCAACGGCACACACAACTCCGATCTTTTCGTCGCTCTGAAGGGCGGCGGCAGCAACTTCGGTCTCGTGACCCGGTTTGATTTCGCCGCCCTTCCCAAAAGTCCGATATGGGGCGGTCAGATCGTCTACCCTTTCGAGGCGACGAATGCTGTATTGGAGGCCTTGAGTGGGTTCGTCGAGGTATGATTTATCTCTTGTGTTTATTGTTGTGTCACATCAGGAACTGAGCTGGACGACCAGGCCAATGCTAAAGATCCAGCATCTGGAATGAGGCTGGAGATTAGCATGAACAGCACGACGCGTGACGCCAAAATCACCAGCTATGTTTGGAATACTATGGGTTTACAGGCGCCCCTCGCCCTGCTACCCTTCACGCGAATCCAGCCACAGCTGGCCAGCAATCTTTATCGATCATCTCTCTTGGACTGGATTTCGCATAGCTCGCCGGAGCAATCGGCGCATCCGGTTCGTCGGTAAGTTTGGCGTGCAATGAGTCTTTTGTATCATATTCCTCACCCAGACAGGTCAATGTTCGCCACAGTTACTGTCATCAAAAGTCGGAGAGTCGTAAAGGCTATCCATGATTGGACCAAAAGTCTATTCGACCGCTACTCCCACCTCTCGGATGTGAAATGGCTGTGGAGTTTCGACCCTTTGCCTCGCTTCTATCTGCAAAATCATGGACAAAATGCTATGGGTCTGAACAACACTCGCGATGATCTCATCGGTATGTCTCTGTACAGACAGCAATGGATGTCGAGTCCAGCGGTTTACGCCATTTCCCAGTCATCCTACTCAGTCCGACCTGGCTGTCTGCAGCCTACGATGAGCTTATTCACACAGCTTTGGAAAGCTGGGTGAGCGGCATCAACAGAATTGCTCAGTCGACTGATCTCAGCCATCCCTTTTTGCACATGGGCTACGCCGCCCCGTTTCAAGACCCCCTACTAGCTATGGGGCGAGTAGTCTAAACATGCTGAAGGATGTTGCAGCGAAGTATGACCCTGATGCTGTGTTTCAGAGCCTGATGCCCGGTGGGTTCAAACTTGATGGAGCCACGAAGTAATTCAAGTCCGGGTGGCTTTGTGAGAGAAAACGGCGCCCATCTCTATATAGCAAGTCACCTGCCGGGGTGCACAATGCAGAGATGTGACGTTAACTCCAGAAAGAGAACGAACAGGAAGGCCGAAGGAATGGAGCTTCCCTGTTGAAAATATTCCAACATTCTGTCCCATAACTTACAGTATGTCTAAGCGTGCGTGTTTTCTCTTCTTCATGTTCTGATGCCCTCACACTTTATTAGCGAGCGACGTTAGTTCTGGCAATGGAGGACACAACAGACGCGTGGATTCAGTCTACATCCTTCCCACCGTCCCAAGAGCAACTCCTTGCAGAAAGCGACATGTCTATTCGATATTGGTCAACGATAACGTGCGGCAATGACACCTACATGTTCCCTCAACCACCTCAAAGACGGCCAGCTTGGAGATTCCGGTTCGCGCAAACGAACTGCTGGCGTCCATTTCAGACATCGCTCGAGCCACCTGAAGAATTTCACGTCGCGAAGGAGGACGGAACAGAGAAACAATTTGTATCTTTCGACGAGATGCACGAATTGTTGAGGGTACCTTCAGACGAAGGGACTGACCTACACTATGAGACGACATCCGACAGAGTGGAACGTGTCGAACGTAGTTGTCTAGACGAGACCGAGACACGGCTTCGTCACATTCGGACTGCTTGCAAAACGACATGGCAGCGCTTCTCTACTTTCACAGCTGTGAGCGAAGACCGTATATGCGAGAAGATGGCGAGGTGTACAAAAAGCAGCACGATCAGAGAACCACAATAATCTTTCCCAGATAGTTGTTTGTTGTGGCATGGGAGATAATCGAGCGGTCGCGCGCAATACCAAAAATAAGATCTTCGGGCGCGAAATCTTCTCATCGACGGTGATCGTCATTCCATTTAAGACCATTATAAAAGCCTCGAGACGTAAACTGCCCGGTAGTGGCCTACGGCGTCTTAGAACTTCATCGACCACTGCCCGACTATCACGGCCGCAGGACCGGAATGTTCTGCGAAGCCACGTTCATCCGTTTCACGACATTCATAAGGCCTTGGATACAGTGCAGTAACACGAGAGCGATAAAGATGTCGATGATAAAACCGAAAACGCCCACCGATCAGTTCTCTCGCGGTGACGTGGGTACCAAGCTGTTCGGTATTGGGGAGCTTCGCGACCTGATTCTGGCGGAGTTGCCACCAAAGGACCTTCTACGAATGCAGCGGGTATCACAAGAGTGGTCAGAAACCATCAAGCAATTTGGTCGTTGCCTGTTTTTGTCTTCAATTCAGCCGTCGAAGTCTCATTGGATCGCCAATACAACTGGAAGCTCGATACCGGGACAAAACAATATCACCTCTTTCGACTGGAGCAGCGGCAGCCAAGTCGATGCTGCCGACCTCTCTTTCATCATGCTGGAACATCTCAAGAAAAAAGGCGATAGTGTAGTCCGATTTCCGGCTGTCCTAAACACAATGGTCGTTCGCAACGAGACGACGATAGCCGAGCACGACAGCATCTTCCACCGCGCTGGCCCTTCGAAGCTGGTTCTCTCGTTCATTTTGGACCCTGAACATGCCTGGTTGGAGAGTAAGGGCATAAGGCCCAGTTTCATCGACATGTTCATTAGCCAACCTGCAATCGTTAAAACGGAGGTGCATTGGGCGCTAAAGAGTAGTCCTCCTCGTTGGATCACCGACGTGGTTCGCCGAAAAGACGGTATTCGAGTAATAGATATTCTCGAATGCTCGCGCTCTCACAACTGCACCATCGATTGGCCCCGTACCGAACTTTGGGTGGCGGGCTATGTGGCAGTGAGCTGGGAGGAATACACCATGGGCATTGAAGGAGCCGTCTGGCGCTGCGAAGATGGGACTGTTTCTTGAAGAGTTGCAGGCTGCTGGAGTGAGAATCGAATGTAAGGCTGCCGACCCTGAGATTGTCGGGTGTCGTGCATTAATGCCAGCTTTGAGAGGGAGAAGCACAGCACCTTTGGCACTATTGTGTAGAAGCAGATCATCTCATGACGCTGGTCGACTAAAATCAGAGTAGAGACTAAGAAATGCCGAGTCGTCACTGTACTGTAGCCCCCAGCTCTATCTGGACGGGCATACTAGGAAATTCATCTTTGATGACGCGGATGAATCACCTTGTAAAGCTCATGACAAGTAGTCCCGATCAGTAAACCTGCACGAGTATAGTTCATAAAATGAAAATGTACTGCACAAGCAGTGCCAGAATGTTGTCCGGCATCGGAGCTTATATTTTAGATGTCTTACTGCCGACCCTCCCGATAGGTATAGTAGATCAGCCAACTCGTACATAAGGAGAGCTCACCCATCTCTGATGCGTACTCTTGCTCGTCTTTACCATTCTTCAAAGCTCTGCTAGTCGGAGCGTCTCCCACCATGTGCGGAATTGCAGCGGTGATAGGTCGTGGAGGAGCTCAGAGCATACATTCCATGCTACAAGCTATTCACGCCCGTGGACCCGACGATAGCGCCACGACGTTCGTGGGAGATCAGGCTGCGCTCGGTATCCAGCGACTTAGCATTGTTGGGGTTGAAAGTGGCGCCCAGCCATTCGTTCGGAGATCGCGGCTTCATTTTGTCTGCAATGGCGAGCTGTACAACTACCAGACCCTTCACTCAGCCTACTCAAAAATGCACTCAGCACCTAGGTCTGATGTCGAAGCTATCCTGGATGTTTATGAACAACAAGGGATGGCCTCGTTACCGCTGTTGGACGGAATCTTCAGCTTCGTCTTGTACGATGCAGTCAAGGGCACCTTCTTGGCCGCGAGAGATCGTTTCGGTGTAAAGCCACTCTACTACATACAAGACGACGATCGCTGGTACTTTGCGTCAGAGGTCAAAGCCTTAATGCAAACGCCAGGAAACGTTAAAGACGTTCGTCAGGTTCCGGCTGGGGGCTTTGTAAATCCTGCTGGAGTAGGGTTGTACCATTGCGACATTCCAAGGCCCATGTCCGCACACCAGCCAGCTGTGCTTTTCGCCCTGTTGGAAGGCGCCGTACAAAATCAAATGCAAGCGGATTCGGGCATACCAATCGGTGTTTTTCTCTCTGGTGGGCTGGACTCGAGTGTAATTGCCGCACTCGCTGCTAGAAGCAGGCCTGACATTGTCGCCTTCACCATTGGCATGGAAGGGTCTCCAGATGTCATCGCCGCGAGGGAGGTGGCAAGCTACATCGGCATTCACCTCGTCGAGTGCTGTTTCAACCCCATGGACGTAGAAGAGGGGATTTATGAGGCGGTTCGGATAACGGAGTCTTATAACACGATGATAGTGGCAGAGGGGCTGATGACGATGCTGTTAGCCAAGGCGGCACGCAGACACGGAATCAAAGTAGTGCTGTGTGGAGAAGGCGCAGATGAACTGTTCGCAGGATACGGCCTGTTCCGTGGTCTCGGTTGTGAAGAGTTCCAAGAGACTCGTCGAGCTATGTTGGCGAACATTGGCAATACCGAATGCAGGCGCCTCGACCGTGCGACCATGAGCTATTCTGTCGAAGCTAGGGTGCCGTTCCTCGATTCCCGCGTTGTCGACTGGGCCATGGGACTCCCCAAGTCTTCTCTGCACCAGGAAGATCAAGGGGAAACCACCGATAAGTTCATCCTTCGAGAGGCGTTCTCTGACTTGTTACCCCCGAGAATTGCCAACCGCCGCAAGGTCTCTTTTGATGATGGTAGTGGGATACTAGCTCATCTTGAACAGTTCCGAGCCCCTTTGAACAACGCTTTGTGGACGAGGGAGAAAGGCTGGGCCGTGGCCAACGTCAAAGACGAGGTTGCCTGCTACCTGTTCAGAGTATGGAGATCAATTTATGGTGATGCCGGAGGAGCAGACGTCTTCCAACTGTTCGGAGAATATCCGATCATGCAATCTGTGTTGACCGAGCAACGCTTAACCTCCGGTGGCACGGGAGAAGATGCAGTCAACCTTGCACTGCTCGATCGATTCCACGTCACACGAGATACAGTGCCGTTGACTATAACGGCTTGAGAGCATTTGCTGGAGTCTTGACTCCTCCTCCGCGAACTTGTATCCGAAAATTAGAGAAAATCTCAAGCAGTTCTCCTCTTCTGAGTTCCATGGATCGGTTCCAGTATCAATACGGGGCGAGCTGAATCTCGCATCCCAGTCGATGGCTCACTGAGACAATTGCGAAATATTCGTGTGACATTTTCGGCATATCACAGGAAGCACTGGCATGTAGAATCGGTACGTCATATGGTCATTTGCTCGCCATCATCGCCCTTGCTCTTGAGTCTAATACCGAAGAGGTGGCGTAGGTGGCGAAACAGGTGGGGCAGACCGCAGATTCTGAATCAATGGTGGTATAATTAGGCGATACGATCACACGAGTGACCAAACGCAAGCACGTTAACAACTTCATTTACGCGGATTACAATTCAAGTACGACATACATCAACATGCCATTGAGTTCAGATATTAGGTCTGAGTGGGAAAAGGCTATTGCAGCTTTCGAAGCCAATCTCGAACAGGACATCGCTCACCTCTTTCACCGTTTCGGGCGTTATAACGACGTGGCTGCGTCTCTCAGGGCAATATGCGACCAACAAGTTCAAGCGAGTGCACAGTTGAGTGCAGGTCACGGGCAATCTCTATTCGATGCCTTCCATACTTGGGACCTAGGGAGCCTTGGAATGCGACGAAGAGCAGAGGACTATACGAGTAGCGAAAACCAAGGAGTTTTGCAGGAATCAGATCCCCACCTTCTTCTTAGGTCGAAGCCACTCGATGGAGTCGGAGATGACGACGAGCTCTCAGAAGCAGTCGTAGACATGATACGGTGGATCGAAGATGAAGTCCAACCTACGTCTCTTGGTAATGATGTTGATCCGAAACATCAAAACTCGAAGCATCCTTGCCAAACGCAAGGGGAGGAAGTCAGCAACGATGTTGAACCACAACTTGAGCATAAAGGAAGGAAAAACCTGAACAGCGATATGTCCAGGGAAGAGCATCGCGAGACTGCTATGTACTGTGATACTCCTCGCAAAGTCGCTAGATCTGAGGGTTCTGCAGACCAAACCTCTGCCATTGAGGTTCAAGGAAACAAATTACAGTCAAATGCGCATCTAGCAAAAGATGGCAGTCCTACTCGAGAGAGGTTGCGCACATTGAGGAAGCGACAAAAGACCCGCAAAGCGTACAGTAGATGATCTAGAACGACTGCAGCGTGTATGTCTTCCTACAGAGCATTGCATCGCAAGCCTTCAGGGCACCTATACATCAGCTTGATACCAACATGCGCCCGCTCTATCTGTCTCGGAAAATGTGGTGCTGCCATCCGGGAAAAAGCCTCTTTCTCCGAATGTAGCGCTGGTGATGATCAGTCTACCATCAGCTAATTACACGGAATTTACCTCTAAATACCCACGGACTACAGATTCTGGGCATGGCGTTGCATTAGAACGCGCGGACTGTACCAGCAAGAAGACTAGTGACCCCGCTGGTCAGGCAAGCCTGACCTCCGCCAATCACCACGACTTAGCGAGCCAATGCACATCGACAGTCTTGGTATAGGACAACAGGATTCACTGAAATGTCCTCGACCAAAGGTCCCCTTTACCACTACACCTTTCCCATGTACTTAAACCAGGAACACTGAACAAAAGATGGTACAAGTCTCTCCCGTCCATCTCTCCTCTTCCGTACATCACTCCGACGCCATACTCGACGCCGTGTTAGCGAACGATCATTACGGTAAATGCGCGAGCCTCGCATTGATTTTGCACCCGGCTCGTAAGATCGCAACGACAAGAAGAATGGCATCCAATTCTGGAACGACAAGCCGACGATCCACCCAGAGAAATGGTCGTGGAGGTTTCGGCAATATACGGCCTACTAGTTCTGTGAAGCCTCACCCAGGCCGTGGATCAGAGCCTCCATTCCAGGAGGTGAATACATTGTCGACCATACTTCCCAAACGTCCGGGGCTATCAGGAAGTGGAGAGTTTGAGAACGTCACCGCACATTCTGAAGTGCTCATCTTCCAGTTCGACGAAGATGTCGACCTGAAGAGAGGAGACATCGCAGCCCCGGTCTACCGATTGGGCCGTGGAGGCATGGGCAATGTTCCACCATCGAAAAGTCTCCAGGCGCTCCAAAACGCTCAGCAGTAGCGCAGGCATGAGTGTGGGAGGCACTTCTAAGTGTTTATCGGACGGACGTCTGCCGTGAATTGTTGGATTAGCGCATAAAGCTGTTTGCTGCGGCTCTGTGGAAGTCGGTCGTAGACCTAGTTACTTTGAAGGAATAGCATCTCTCCACAAACGACGCTAGCTGAATACATCTGGCGCGAATTCCCCCGTCAAGACCATCGTTGCACCATATAGCAAATCCCTCCTGGTCTAAACTTGTTCGTGTCGTACGCGATTTGAGAGGTGACGTTGGGAAAGGCTTCGGTTCGGGCCGTAGCTCGAAAAGTTGCTATTTGGGCTCACGCTGCCTGATTGGTTTCGACCACATACACACGTCGAGCTTCGAGGGCACTATGCAGGTGAGATAGTCTACGATGTGCCTAGAACGAGCGGCTGGTTTTTTCGACATCCTCCGCCGGTTGCAAGCGCTAAAAATCGTCATATTTCCTCGAGGTCCTCTATATAAATGAAAGTATCTGCTCCCTCATCTCGTATCTAGTCACTCTTGTTCGTCAAACCCTGTACCAACCATGAGACACGAAAACCGCATAGACCAGCTTACAGGCTTGCACCATGTCGAAACCAACGGTGATTTTTACGAAAAACAGTCTGCTACGTCTTCGCTCGCAAACAGTACAATGGCGACCCAGCCGCTCTATATCCCAGTGCCCGTTACCATTAAGGCGCAGCTTGGAAGCCCCGTAAGTACATGATGGGGGCAGCGATGGAGGTTTGATGCTAAGATTTACCGCAGACTGCATTGGCCACTGGTGCTTTCTCGACCACGTTGACGACTCTCTCGTTCGCTCTCATGGGATGGCGTGGTGTCAGCGTGACCAATGCGTTCATCGGAGATTTCTTCGGAGTCGCTGGTGTTGGCATGGTAAGTTCAAGACCGATTGCACACCTTTCAGGTAGAGTCCTTCTGACTTCACGCAGTTCGTGTCAGCTAACTGGGAGCTTGTACTCGGCAATACGTATGCGTACACCGTCTTCGCTGCCTTCGGTCTTTTCTACGCCGGGTTTGGCTTCATTGTCACCCCGTCTTTTGGCGTGGCCGACGCGTACGGTGGCCCTGATAGCGCGCAGTACAATAATGCAGTTGGGTTCTTTGTGCTCAGTGAGTCAAGCAGCGACTCCAAAGCTTGTGTCTACGACTGTGCTAATCTACCTTCCAGTGTGGGCAGTGTGGAATTTGTTCTTCCTGGTAGGCTCCATCCCTCTAAATCTCGTGTACATCGCCATCTTCTTCACCGTGCAAATGGCCTTCACGCTCGTTTCTGTCGGGTATTTTCTCAAGGCCGACGGCTTGACCGAAACTTCAATCGCTGTAAACAAAGTAGGAGGGGGATTTGCGTTCGCGAGTGGGATGTTGGGGTACTATACGGTGGGAAATTTGATGTGTCAGGAGTCGATACGCTTTACCTTCCCTATGGGCGATACTAGCCGGCCCTTCAAGAGAGTAGATAAGAGTGCACAAGCTGTATGAGGTGGCGGTCGGGATGGGGAATAGAAGTGAGGACTCGTAATTGGTAGATACTGCTTTGGCTGGTGGCACTCCGCAGTGACTTGCATAGCCTGCAGAATAGTAGAGCTCTCGTCTTTGGACAGCAGAAGGGCTTATTCTGCAGGACCTAGACTTCATCAACATCTCCTATTCATTCCTGACTTGGATGACGCGCCGAACTACTGTTACGACAAAACCTGTCCCTAGCTAGCAATTTACTATTGCTAAGGAGCCACTCCAAGGTGACAAGTATGGTAACGCGTTGGAGATACGAGTATCTTGCGCGATCCGCACGATTTCGCAGTGCATCGACCCCACCCCCCTCTTCCGCTCCCATGGATATAACTGGCGAACATGTCGATACTTTCTCCTAGCCACAACCACACTCTTAGCCGACAAAATGTATGATTGGTCTGGGCGATTCGAAGACGATACGCATGAACGAGATCTTCCCTCTACTGAGAAGCTTCAATTTCCACAAGCTTCCAACCTTAAAGTCAATTTTGGAGTCAAAGTCAATGAAGGGCAACATCGAGATGACATCAGAAAAGACGTAGCTTACCGTTGGGGCGACGACAAAGACAGAAATGGTGAACGTGGAGTTGAGTGCGGAGACGAGGATAAAGAGTACGATGACAATGACGGACACGGTAGGGAAGATAGCGATCAAGATGAAGAGAATGTCGACGACGATGATGAGAGCGATGATGAGCATGACGATGAGGACGAAAGCGAGGACGAAGTCGGTAGTGAAGACGAAGACGAAGACGAAGACGACAGCGAGACAGCGTACTCGTACGATGAGCTTCAAGATAGCGACTATGTTGACGACCCAAACGCTTTTGATAGTGATGACGACGATAGTCTTCTAGAAGATTACTATGACTTGACACATTTCAACGACTGAAGGCGCAAGAGTACCGCGATGTAGACTAGTCTCCCACCTGTGTCGAATAACAGGTTCTTCTCGGAATGCTGCTACTTAGCACAAAGCCTTGGAAAAGTAATTAGGACTATTATAGAGAATTGTCGTCAGAATATAGCCCAGTGCGCCCGATTTTGAGAGAGGTTCCACTTGTCTCCATAGTATCATCGTTGAAAATCGTTTAGAAGGCAGCGTATCGTATCCTATACAGTACAGCGAACTTGTTGTTTCGTTTGTGCATCATGTGAATTTGCAGGGGACGCCAAATCGAGCCATCCTCTAAACAATGATGTGAACTGCTACGTCATTTCCAGAGCCGCAGAGAAAGATGTCGATGTTCACCGAGGAGTGAAGACAGGTCTAACTAAGTGAGTTATAGACTACAGACTTGTGCGGCGTCGAACATTGTTGGCACCGTTGCGAAGACTGGCCTCAGTTTTCGTAGTCTATACGATGGAGAGCGGCTTACGTCAGTCCGTACAACTACGGGTATATGGACTGTCTACCCTGATTTACACGTCCTTCAGCAGCAGCGATGACAGTCGAATGTCGTGGTTACAGTGGACCAAATTCCCTCATGTGACTAGGTAGCGTTAGCGGACGTCGTGATATGGCCGTGATATCGTGCTCAACATGCGCTACTGTGCTTTATCTCTGCGTTGGCGATACGTATTACATCCATTCAACGGGCCTCGATGGCCAAAGCGTTACGGCTGGACCGTCACACAGCATGCTGTACTCTGTACTGAACCCGGGCCCCCTGGGGATTTGGTACATCTTTAAAAAGCGCCTAGAAGCTCTGTGAGTTGAGGCCTATAACATCAAACGCGGATCTACATCCAGAAATATGAGCGAATGCACGGGAGAGATTAAGCACCTCAACAAAAGTGGTAACAATTTGTACAACTTCAAAGACCTCTTGGAGCTATGCTCCGGGCCCGTGATCCAATTTCCCGCATGGCACGCAAAATACTTCAACCAAGATGTGGAGAAGATCGCAGAAGCAGCATTTGCCGAGGTCTATAGATTTTGCGTCTGTGATACAGGGCCCAGGGACGACAAGTTCGAGCGATCAGCGCTCAAGATCATTCCTTTGAGATCTGTTCCGCATATAAGTCGGACGAGTCCACAGGGACAAAATGAAGTTATTTTGGGCCAGTCAATGATGAGCGATGTTCAAAGCGTGACCAAAGAAATCAGAACCATGCAAGCTCTAAGCCCAGTCAGCGGCTTCACGCAACTGAGGGATGTGCGAGTCATCCAAGGTCGACCAACGTTGGCATTCGTTAACGCACACAGATCGTGGGACCGCAAGCAAAAAGCATGTGGCAAAACCCCGAGCTTGTTCCCCGACCCGGCGTGCGAGGCAAGCTATTCAGATCTTCAGCTATGGGCCGTACTAGAAATGGAGTATGCCGGTCACAATCTTGAAGAAGCCATCAATAACGGGGAGTGTGACACGGTCTGCGTGATCTGGGACGTGTTTTGGCAGATCTGTCAGTCTGTCGCGAGAGCCGAACAGTCGTGCGATTTCGAGCATCGAGACCTACACCCTGGCAACATCTGCATCCAGCCACGTGCACTACATTCCTACGTGACTCCATTACGAACGACTATCATTGACTATGGACTATCCCGGTGCACATTGCCCAATGGAGACATCATCTCTCATGATCTGAGCAAGGTTACTGGTCTCTTTGATGGCGATGGTACGAGGGCCTATCAGTACGACATCTATCGCTACATGCGTTGCTTGATTCTGGGAAACGCCACCGATGATAGGCAAGACTCGGAGATGACGTGGCGCACCTATCGACCGGAGTCTAACCTGCTCTGGCTACACTTAATCTTGACGTTGCTCATGCAACGATTACCAGCAACAGACGCTAACTCTCCGTATGTGATGAGGACCTACACCAAAAATACCAACGAGATGCGGGGCATTTTGTGGCAAGTGCATGAAGTATTGCAACCGTGGCAAATGAGAGAGATGTCGTCTGCGAGCGATCTTATGGAGAAGGCCATGAGCGAGAATTGGCTAGACCTTGAATACGTAGGCGACATGCCACTTGTAGCCCCGTGGTAGCGCTGACTCTGCGTTTCCGGTTGTGCTCGACAGAGCTGCCCACTTCGCAATCCGGGAAACCGTCGCTTCCATTTCAAATCGCGTACAGCAAGGCCACTGAAGCCGTGCATGATATTTACATGAGATAGTGGGCGCGATAAATTCCACAACGGTACGACAAACAGAGCTCGCCTTGGTACAAAATATACGTAAAGTAGTCTACTCTACACAATGGCACTCTTCTAAAGAAAGATGCTTCAGTGTCAGCTCACACTCTCGTAAGCCGTGCAAGATCGCAGACGCAGCCGTATCTCTCATGTTGTGCTCATAAGTTGCGACAGCGCTGCAATTGATTCCGCCAGCTGCAATGATGTCCACCATTGCCGCCGCATCCCGTATTGCTAAGTTCGACCCTAGCCCCCGTGCAGGCGTCACAGCATGCACGGCATCCCCCAGCAGCGTGACTCGACCCGACGTTTGCCACTCAAAGATATCAGGTGCGTCCGAAGTCACCTTTAATGCACGAGTGCTTCCACGTTCTTGCAGCTCCAGAACCGAAGTCACTCCAGAGTCCCAGTGCGAGGTAATCTTGAGACTGAGATCTGCCGCCTCTGCACTGCTAAGGCGGTCCCAAGCCTCTGCGGTCTCGCCAAAAGTCTCTGAGCGCGAGACAAGTACCCAGTAGATGTAGTCTTGCAGAGGTCCAGCGTCAGTAAAGCTTTGAGCTGATTGACTGAAGCGCACAGGATCGGTGACCAAAATGAGTGGTGTCTGCTGCGATTGAGAGTGCGGGTCTGTAAAGAGGCAGCTGCGGTCCACCATAACCGGCGATCGCCGCCTTAAGTCGTTGGTGAGCATTGTTCTTCCTGTGATGAAACGACCATCATTATCGAGAAGTCGTCGTGATGGGATCGTCTGTTGAGCTACTTTCGAGTGAACTCCATCTGCACCGACCAGTAAGATACCTGCCATTGACGTTCCATCTTCGAAAAAGGCCTGCACTCCGCTCGAGGTGACGGAGTAGCGTCGGAAAGTCTTCCCATAGAAGATGTTGTCGCTTAAACCGTCCGCCAAGAACTCTTTTAACAGCGCACGATCGACGGTGTAGGCACTCTCGTCGCCACCGGACCGAGCCAGTGGGAAGACAGCGTCCTGTAGCGCGCCAGTGATGGCATTGATCTTGTAACCTGAGGTAGACGATTCCGGGAAGAGCTCTTCCACGATTTTCAACTGACTTGGTGTAAGACACGTGGAAAGGCCTCTCCAGCCCATGGCCTGCAGTCGAAATCGAAAGCCCTGGGAGCGACTTCGGGCAGACACATCTTTCTCGGCGATTGAGAATCCGATGCCGAGTTTCTTAAGGCCCTGAGCCAGTGCCAGTCCTCCTATACCGGCACCTATAATCAAAACTTGATCGTGATCGGGATGTGCTACAGCCATGTCGATGTCGTGGCGAATGATAACAAGCAACCGGAGTCACTGATCTGTATATATATCCGTCGGTCAACGGGAGCTTACCTGTGACGACATGGCCGACGACGAGCTTTCAAGCTTTGGGATGAGGCACCGGTGCTGTGAAGCAGATAAGCCTGTGTCCCCGTAGAATATATGTATCTTACGTGCCTTGACGTCTTGTGCTTTCACATGTGTCTCCACGGTCACAGCCATGTTCGTAAAAGTGTTGATCTTCGGCTTTGGGACAGCGATTGTCTGGCTAGGCATCATTGCCTCCTGGCGTCTGTTCTTTGGCCCGCTGGCACATATCCCCGGACCCAGGCTGGCAGCTCTTACATTCCTTTACGAGATCTACTTCGAGGTCTTTCGAGACGGTACCTACATCTGGGAGATTGAACGGCTACACAAGATTTACGGTATGTCGCTCGGCCTGTCTTCGTGACTTGGGTTAATCGGGAGGCTATAGGTCCTGTAATACGAGTCAATCCGCGCGAAGTGCACATTGCGGACTACACCTTTGTCGATGAGATCTACTCGAGCAGTCATGCTCGCGACAAGGATATTTATCACGTTGATGGTCTTAATGCGCCTTCATCTTTGGCCGCCTCCAAGTCCCATTACGTGCATCGGCGACGACGCGAAGCACTGAATAATTTCTTCAGCAGAACAATGGTCAAAAAGCTTGAAGGTTTCGTTCAAAACAGACTCGATGGTCTAGACATGGTTATTGAACGGGCCCAAGTCACTCAGCAAGTAATTTGTCTGAGCGATTTGTATTTTGGGCTTAGCCAAGAGTAAGTCCCAGCATTTGCTTAAGAAGAACTCGCAATTGACCGGCCGTCAGCATAGTGAAACAGTACGGCTTTGGAAACCACTGCAATCTCGTGCGACACCCTAATGAGGCTGCGACTGCTCGTGAAAACATGGCAGTTTTCTTGGCTTACGGAAAATTGATGTTTTGGCTGGGCTGGGCTGTAGGCCCAATACTATGGCTCACGCCGAGTTCTATGTGGGTGGAAGTGAAAAGAGCAATCAAAACTTTTGCAGACTGGAGGAGTGTAGGTTGCGGCCGTCAGGTCGACCGGGAAATCAACACTGACGGCATTATAGGGACTTCGAGCTGATGTCGAGGCTATCGTTGCCGGCGTTGCACGTGACAAAGCGGCACACAAAACTGCCAACGACATGAGAACGATCTTCGACGAGTTGCGAAACAGCCCAACTCTTCCGGAAGTGGAACGAAGCGCCGCACGTCTGGAGCACGAGGCGATTCTTTTAGTCGCTGCTGGGAGCGAGTCCACCGCAAAGAGCATGAGCATTATTCATTATCATCTTCTGAGGAACGAGAGGGCCCTTCATCGCTTGCGGAAAGAGCTTGAGACGGTCGGCCCAGGTGCTTCCTGGACCGAACTAGAACGACTGCCTTTCCTGGCCGCGGTCGTTCAGGAGGGAAATCGGCTAAATTTTGGTCTGACGGGACGAAGCTGCCGCGTCTCGCATGAGAACCTGTGCTACCGCGGACTCATGATCCCCCCCGGCACCCCCGTAAGCACCATGTCTATCTTCGTCAATGCCAATGAGAAGCTTTATCCCGATCCATGGACATTTAATCCTGATCGCTGGCTTGAACCCGGAGCAGTGTCGCTTCGCAAGTTCACACTATCTTTTGGAAAAGGGTCACGCAGTTGTATTGGCATGCAGCTGGCACATATGGAGCTCTATCTGACCATCGCGAGGACGGTGCGATGGGAAATGGTGCTATACGAGACGGGGGATGACGACGTGAGACTGCATCGGGATTTCACAGTCTCGTTCCCAAAATCCGGCTCTCGAGGGGTTCGAGCAGTGGCTCGAAAGCGAACTGCGTAAGGGAAATCGGTTCTTACACAGTCGAGAGACAGTCCGAAGACTAGAATCACAACGAGGACCTCAACTCGACTTACCAACGTCCCTCTCATTCCGAGCACCGGGTGACACGTAACTAGTAGTTCGAGGTCGAAAATGAGTCTGGCCCTCGCAGATCGTTTCTTGCCTTCATTCCGGGCTGCGACTATTGCTGTCTGTTCTCCCGCAAAACATGAAGTTGCCGCTTAATGTCCAACCCTCAACCTCAAATTTTCCGCAAAGACCTTTGCTCCGCCGCAACTTTTCGAAAACGGTGCTGTTTGTCCATAACGTCTTTCCCGGCGTCCTGAGACGCACCCTGTGGCGAGACACTTTTTGCGCCGCATGCGAAAAGTACTGCGGAAAGGCTAGACAAAGCTCACTTTTTCGACGGCGTCAAGGGCAAGATATCTCCCGAGCTAGGAGATGTATCTTTAGGCTTTCATCCAAAGAGTACAACGGACGGTGCGGGTATTGGTTGACACTGTTGGTTGCGTTTGATTCTGCGATGTTGTCTCAGCCACCCAATTCCCACGATTGCTCCATTTTTTTGGTTACTAAAGGCTAGCTGTAGGGATTCTCAAGCTATGCCGAGACTATCGAGTGGAAAAGTCCTCGTTGTGATGCTGTCTCGTTCAAATCGTCGACATGAGCAAGCAGCGAAGTGGCGCACGCAAACGGATTTCGGAGAGATGTGGCGCAGGAGACTCTAGAAGATTCCATAAGCACGTGGCTTCGGCTCGCTGCCCTCAGAGAAGTTTCACCCCCGTCTTCACTCCTTCTCTAACTACCCACCCTGCAGGCCAGGAATGGACAGAGCAATTGCAGAAGGCGCTCCCGCCGGTGTGCCGAAATCTTATCGTGCTCTTGCAGATCACCGCGGTGTTCCCCACTCTACCCTGCATCACCGGTCGCGTGGCCGGCCCTCCATGCAAACGAAGGCCCAGAAGCAGCAATATCTCACGCCCGCAGAGGAGAAGGCGGTGGTCGAGTTCATTCTGCAGATGTCAGCGCTCGGACGCCCTATACGCATAAAGTACATACCATCCATCGCGTTCAGTGCCACCCGCCATAGGTCCGTATCTACAAGACCGTCCAAGCCGCCGGGGAAGAACTGGGCGAGGGCGTTGGAGAAGCGGCATCCAGAGCTGCGAGCAAGACGTGTGAAGGCCATAGATTGGGATCGACATGATAAAAACATATACGAGAAGACCTGTCAGTGGTTCGAAGTGATTCGAGATGTGTTACAACGTCCAGACGTCTTGGCAGAGAACGTCTACGACATGGATGAAACTGGCGTTATGCTGTCAATGCTTGGGTCTGTAAAGGTCCTCGTGGGCACAGATGATATGCGTGACTATAGAGGTGCCAGATTCAAACGGACACTCGTCACCGCCATTGAGTGCATTAGTGGCGACGGTAGGTATTTGAATCCCATGATAATTTGGCCAGCCACGACTCATAGGAGTAATTGGATTACATTTCCCACGCCTGGCTGGCATTATGCATGCTCAGAGTCAGGCTACACCGATTCGAAGATTAGTCTGGAATGGCTGAAGCGTGTATTCGATCCCGAAACCAAAGATCGAGCAGGCTCCCAGCCGCGCGTGCTGATCTGCGATGGATTCGGCAGTCATGAATCGCTTGAGATTCTGGAGTTTTGTTTCACTAATAACATCTGCTTGTGCCGACTACCCTCCCACACGTCGCACAAGCTACAGCCTTGTGATGTTGCTGTTTTCGCGCCTTTGAAGGCCGCATACCGCGACAATGTGGAGCGAATGGAGAGGGCAGGCATTGGCATGATCGGCAAGCAGCATTTCACCTGTCTGTATTATCCTGCGCGGACTAAAGCTTTCTCCAAGAGGAACATTCAGGCGGGATGGAGTAAAGCTGGACTATTTCCATACAATCCTGAGAGAGTCCTGAGAGACTTGCAACCGCCGACAGGGCCGCTAGATCGGTCAGATCCGCCAGGTCTGCCGCGAAACATAGGCGAACTAGAGAGGCGTGGCTCGATACAGGAGGCGATTCCGCGAACACCACTCACGCCAGTGTCGTTCGAGGCGCTGATGTCACTACAGAACATAATAGTAAAGGACGCTTGCAACCTCGATGAATCGAGTAAGCAAAACCTTGAAAGACATCTGAACAAACTCACCAAGGCTGCAGGCACGTTTCATGCAAAGAGCGCACTGCAACAGGATCAAATTTCATCACTGCTGAAGGCTAATAATGAGTCCAAAGTCCGGCGAGCTACCAACTCTTCCGTACTGGCAAAGGGGAAGGGGAAGGTAATGAGCTATGAAGATTTAGTAGCAGCACGAGCAGCGCGACGGGAGAAGGAGGCTGCGAAAGAGGCCGCGAAGGAGCGGAAGATGAATAAAAGCAAGCGCAAGAGTATTAACGATGTCCAAATCGCCGAAGCGCCATATTATGCAATTACAGAAGCGCGCAGGAATGAGACCGAAGCCGCACCAGTGATCTTGGGCACTGGAGCGCAGACTGACAAGAACATGTTTGAAGAAGCCATTTTTAGGGCTCCAGTAGCATCCATGTATTAGATACTGTACCACGATATGGCGGAGGGTGGAGGGCGTTCATGTTCTCATTATATCCCGGAGACTTTATCCAGGTGAAATGATTATGTATCATCTGGGAGTCGCATAAACCCGCTGTTTTTCGCTACAGACTGTACAGACAGAATGGTGTTGATATGTTGCCGGCCTTTGCACACAGTAGTATCAGTTGGTGCCAATAACTTCCTCGTCGCGTGCGTCGTCGGTCGCGGACAGTCCAAAGTTTCGCCGCAAGAATTGTGACATCTTCTCACTTGAAGACTTTATATCAGCACCTAAAGCTTTCTCTGTATCCGTCACGATTTCTTGGAATTCTTCCAACGCATTTGGAGAAAGCTTCAGTAAATCTTGAATCCTACTCGCTATTAGGTCGTCGCGTCAGAAGTGCAGCTTCATCCACTCACATTGCTTCTGTCACAACCCCTATGAATATGCTTGATGTATGCATCTGAAATTGGTTCACAACGGCGGGTAAATCCTTTCCATGTATTTCCAAGGCGTCCCACTGGTGGAAATCAGCGCGCCATGCCAGCTCAATTTCATTCTTCACATCTTGAGAGTAGTCCCCGAGGTGCTTGACAATTTTGACTATTCGCTTCGAGTAGTCCGAGCTTCCTAAGCGCAACAATCCAGAATATCGTTGAGCGGTATTACACAGGAGCATAGTGTTCCGAAGTTGATAGTCGAGGGCAGAACCCTCCAGGCCCGGCACCGCCTGGATCGTAAAGAGCAGGCCAGCGGCAGAAGCACACGCCGACTCAATCGAGTCTAATGCTGGCTTGTCTGCCATCGCTAATAGTTTGAGAGAGCCGAGCAAGATTCTGTACTTATCACGCTGATGTATCAGTGTTGATTCCGAATAGGAGGAGTAAAGATTTGAAGCCGCGCAAAGTTTTTCTTAGTAAACCACGTGATGCAGCTCAAGCGAGCCATAGCTGTGGCGCACCATATCACGTGATAAATCACATGATTAGTGTCTCGGCACGGGGTGCGTCTCGGCACGTAGAGAAGGACGTTACATGTTTTCTCTATTCCAATTCGCGCCGAGCTGCAGCAGCACACGATACGAAAACAGGTATACTATTATATAAGATGGCGTACAGTAGCTAAGTTGTATACATATGAGCGTCTTGTTGAGGTTCCGGGGCTAGAAGACCACCTGCGTATCTCAGTGAGGCGTCAAGCTGCTGGACCTCTGCAGGTGGGCTTTGACATAGCAAGGACAGTTGTTCGGTTCTTTCTCTATAGTATCGTACAGATTCGACCATTGCTTGGTACTCTTCGAGCGTCCTTCTAGAGAACGCGAGACACTCCATCGCGTTGCGATATTTACTAGTCGCCTCGACGTACAAAGCGTCCACCTTTTCGCCCAATGTGCGACAGACTTTTTCGTGCATGTCGACTAGCTCCAACAAGTCGTTACCATAGTGTCGCTCGTGCATGACGGTCGTGTCTTGGTCATTTGCGCTCGTAAAACCCTGCATGGTACAAAGCCTCTTCGACGGACGGGCAAAAGCGTCCTCATCTCCTTGGTGTTTGCGTTTAGACATTGGCGAGGTATGCTTATGGAATTTAATGTCCCGTAACGGCCGCGCAACTTGTCACCGCCATCAGCCGCATTATAGTGATGATTCCTAGCAAACGGGGGTAAATCTCCGCTTGTGTATCTTGTGCTCGACCCCGTCCAACTCTTTCTGAATGATAATTTTCTCGACTTGCAAGGGAAGGACATATTCGCCGATTCGTTGATTCGCTGACAACGTCCGGTCAATCGTGAGACCCCGTTTATGTACATATCACTGTGATACTATACACAGACCTTATGTTATGTATACGATAGAGTACACGGGCTACTGTACGTGAAAGCTTTACATGCAGCCTCACGGAGAAGCAGCAGTCCGACACGCAGCTTACGGTCGCGATTAGCGTACTATAGATCGGTTACTGTAAGAAAGAGCCAGCTAGATTGGACTCTGTTTGGCGCTGGCTGTCTCCGATTTTGCGAAGACTGGGGTGGGTGCCTGAACAGGGAGACCGGACCCACAATGGATCGATAGCAGGAAAAGTCCAAACTCAGAATAGAAGTGGGCGGCGCTACATGGACCTGACGACTTCATATCTTCACTGGGCAACAACATCCACGAGTCTTTCTCCTGCTACCCAACCTCCAACGGCCCCTCGACGACTTCCGCAGCAAGGAGGGTCCTGCAAGTTGAGCCATGATCGACAAAGTGTTCTTCGGACATGCCCGCGTGGAGGCTCACGATGGCAGATCCGTCGTTCGAATGGAGAATGACGGTGTCTTTCGAGGTGGCACCGTGGACGTGGAGACCGAGCGACTAGTGCCAGAAGATCTCGATTTTGAGAGCCAAATTCTATACGCCGACGGTGACATATACTGGCACATCTGAACACTACGAACGAGGCCAAGAAGCTCACCTGGCGGGAAAGACTCAGAACGAAGAGCCCACAGAGGTCACGCGGACTGAAGTTGATTGAGACAAAATGTGGAAGCCTTCACAGCCCTCTGAAAATACTTTTGCGACCTTCGGGCTTTCGTCCGGACTTCGATTTCGACTGTCGCCACATACCTTATGGATTGTGTCTCCCTGTAAGAGCATTGTGACGAGTAGCGAAACGAGGCTCACCAAGTCTAGGAAATACAAGCATATCATGATTGTATGATACGAAGATGGAACAGCCCCGCGCTCGATATGCGCGTGTTTGATTTTGTAGATAAGGAGACCGTCGACGCACTCCAAGGGCTCTGTCCTTTATGGTCAGCAAAGGACGCCAAAAAAACTGAAGACATGATGGAAGAGGACACAATCTTGGGACGATTGTCCGAGCAAAGCGAGAGAGCCGTGGTGGTTGATCATCTCCTGCGTCAACCGCGAATTCTATCGTTCCGGACGTTCCGAACCGATTGCCACCTACTTGAGATCTGCGCGCGCAACTTGATGAAGGCCCTGTTTCTTACCAAGACGAGAACCTTTTGTCTCAAGGATGCGCTTGAAGAAATCTACGTCGGGGATTGCTTCGAACGGAGCTATCTTGATATGTGGCTCTCGGCGATCCGATGTCTACCACGACCGCATTGCCTTAATGCGGTGTGGAAGGACTTCTTGTTGTACTTACGCTTGCAGGCTCATGCCTTCGGCTTTCGACGGCGGGCTGTGGGCCAGAGTCCAGCAGAATACTCATCCACCGAGCTGAACGAGAAAGGACAGGCTACGGAACTTTCGACCGACAGAAATGCAGCATCAAAAGATGAGCGCAGGCCTTTGACAAGTGTCGAAACCTTCTATCAGAACCAGAAATTCTTTACAACTGGCTCTTTAGCTCGAAGCATGCACTGTGACAGGGCCAATATCGTCAGGAAGAAATTCGCCACGCCTTTGGCAGTCCTGTACGACCTCGTGGACTGTTTTGGCCTGGTGCCAGGCGTTGTTTCTCGCTGGAATACTGAGACACCAAGACAACACATTGCTCCCGAACATGTGACTGAGCCTACGCAAATCCACCCTCAACCAAAGTTAGACGGAGTGCGAGAAGCTCTTGCACCATCGTTTTGTTACATCAGGTCCAGCTACACGCCATCCTCACCAAGTAGAGAGATGGCATACCACGATACTGATGCATTTCATGATGGTTGAGCCGAGCATCTGGCGGAGGGCGCTTGGTCTCCTTCGCCAGATTTCAAGACCCAAGAGCCCGGAATAGAAAGCGATGGCGGCGACCAGGACTTTCGCATGGTAACCGAGGACATTCCAGGTCGAAGAAGTACCCCCTAAGTCTCTCCAAGAGACGAACACAGTACCGACAGGTCGACGTCAGCTGGGCCGAATTATAATCAACGGCAGACACTTACATTCAACGCAGCTGAATTGGGACGTGTACTTCCGGCGAATGACTCCAGTTCCGCGGAGCTCGCAAAGCACCGACAGTGCTGGGACTCGCACATTCACACTATTATCGTGGAATAGGAAACGGATATACCGAGCGCAGAAAGCGCGCAAGACGTTAGCTGATGGCTACAAAGGTCAATCCCAGTGTTGTACCATCGTTTAGAAGTCGTTAGTGCTGCTTGACTGTGTGGCACAAGTCAGCGAGACGTATGCAACACAAAGTTTAGCAAATAAAGCATTTGATCCAGACTACTTGCCTCCTCGAAGCCACAGAGCATGACGCCGAGCCCATAGACGTTGTGGGGCGACTATAAATGGTTCTGTGAGAATCGATCGAAGTAGAAGTACTGTGGAAATGTTCAAATCGATCATTTCTTCCGGTGAACATGCTTCGTCAATCTGTTCTTTCGCGTGGCCATAAGATACTAAAGAGTCAAGTCGTCGTCTACCGACAACGATTAGACCTTCTCTCGTGTTCTGTAGTGCCTCTTCATTCATTGTCGCTTTCTCTAACCATTCCGTGATTTTACAAATCATGACGGCGGCCCTGAAACGTTCGAGACCACGGTACTCGAGTACGGATAGCACGACATCAGGACTCTTATCATGGCACGAAGTACCTGTATGGCAGCAAGACAACGAGTATATCGTATCTGGTTACAGGTTAGTCAAGTTCGCTCGATCCACATGGCGCAGCTATTTACCGTGCCTGCAGGCCAACGTCTGGCTCAGTGCGGATGTCCATCGCCAGCCTAGCTTCTTGGAACAACCAGACTGTCAACTCTTATTCTCATCTCATAGGTGCCGCAATCTTTGCAGTCCTTCCATTTTATTATTATGCATTTATCTTTGTTGAGGAAAACAATGCACTAGCCATGGATCTGGTAGTAATGTGCGTCTACTGTTACGGCGTGACGACTTGTTTCATCTTTTCAGCAATGTAAGTCGGCTCCGTTTGCCTAGAGGAGAGTCTGACCTTACTTTTAGGTTTCATACCTTGTGGAACCACAGCGACCGTTATGCGCGGCTCTACAACAAGCTTGACTATCTCGGAGTCCTTGTCTTGATGTGGGGAGCAGGTATCCCGACTATCTTCTATGGTTTTCTATGCGACAACGCTCTGAGAAGCATGTACTGCATGGTGGTTCGTTACATGTCCCTGTCTCGGCCTCGGAAATTAACACGCGAACAGACAACAAGCACCGCTATGTTTTGCACATACCTCACGCTCTCCCCCCAATTCGCGTCGCCACGCTTTCGACGCTGGCGTGCGTGCTTCTTCGCAGGATATGGCTTGAGTTCCATGATGTTTGTTATGCATGGCCTCCTTCTATATGGATGGGAGATACAGAAAACCCGTATGTCACTAAGCTTCGCAGGCTGGGTGGCTGTGTTCAATCTCATCGGCGCGGCTATATATGCGACAAGGGTTAGTAAAGGGGAACCCTCATCCAAGGTGGTACCGCTGAGGCCTTTAGATCCCTGAACGATGGTGTGCTTATTCATTTGATATAATTGGCGCAAGTCACCAGATCTTCCACATGACGGTGATTGTTGCGGCTTGGATTCATTTTCGAGGGATTGTCGAAGCTTTCTCTGCGGTACGTGCCACACCGTCTACCTGCCACAACTAGCTTTTAAGATTTGTTTTACGTGAATAAACGATAAGGAAGTCAGAAACAGAAAGAGAGGGAGAAGCAGATGCAGTGTTGACGACCGCGAGCGTATCTGCAGGGGGGAAAGTAGACCACTTGATTGAAAGAAGTCCATCCACATCTTGTATTTTCCTGCCTATACCCGACAGCTTGTGCGCCGTATCATGAGAACTTTCCATCGTAATAGAGTCTTGGAGCCGACGTCTCGTGATTTCGTGTGACTCTCAAGCTGGACGAACACTCCCATTCGGGAATTAACTATAGTAATTGGATCTTGTCCCATAAATGCAGTCTTTAGGGGTTCTAGAACAGGCTTGGCGGAGAAGTTTGCGGTAGACTTAATTTTACGCCATGTAGAAACTATATATGATGCTGAAATTTGGGATCACTCTAGAGTATTTGGAATGAGATACCGGGATAGCTACTCACTGTCTAGAGACAGCTGTGCCGTCAAGTATGCGTAATGCGCTGGACCGTGCAGTGACTGTGGTGTAATTATGACGGTCGGTGCACAAGTGATAAAGGGTTGCTCACGACTCACCTGTGCCTATAAAGACCCTCATCTGCCTTGAATGGCTCACTCATCTTTCGCATTCTCTGTTCCCTCAACGAGCCATCCTTTCGCGTCGTGTCCATGTTCCGCGTTCAGAATTCCTTCGCCGGCGATGGCGAAAACACAATGGAGCCGAGTGCGAATTTCGCTGCTGCCAGGAATCGCTTCTCGTACGAGAACGATCGGCAACGTACGTGAGCCATATGCAGCAGTCACAGACGATATCAAAATGTTCACCATCAGAATAGGCCAACGTACAGGTGTCAGTCAGGAGCTGAGTGTAGTGCAAAGCCGAAAAGCTCGGCGAGCCATGGCACGCCTGCGGTCTACTTCTCGAACATCTGATGATTGGGACTACGACATCCCGTTTCCTAACCTTGGGTCCAGGAAAGACTCATCCGACAGTCAAGCACTGCTGGAAGCTACGAGGTCGCCCATAATCATCGAAGAAGAAACGGAGTGGGAAGAAGACCCAATCGACTGTCGAGGCGCATTTCTTCTAGTGGCGTGCATTAGCTGCCCGAGGATGGTGTTCATCCAATACAAGAGTGACAAGCTCGTCGAGATACACTCCGGTATCGATATTACCAACCAGCTCATAATGATCTCGTGCCGGAGATGTGAGATGGATCCGGAAACGAAGGGACCCAGATCTGGCACATTACAGGAGTGTTGGAAGGGATACACAACGTCAATCCACGTCAACCATTTCTCTAGCTCCCCACTACTCAGCGCCGCCCGAGTGGCAGCCGGACAAGACGTGCCATTTGCGCAAGTCAATGACAGGGTTTTGTTTGTGTCCAAAGATGCAATTAGGGACTTGGGGACAGGACAAGGCAGAATGAGAGGTCTAGATCTTGCAAAGGTGGGGACAAACGATGCATGTCAGGTGGTCATGTCGTTCGCGCCAGTGGACTTCTTGTGATAAAGTCCACGGTGATCTTTCGTAGACCCACCATGCTATTTCTGCCGAGGATGTATGAGCCTGTGAATCTGCCATTGAGTTCAAGCGAGCACGTCCGTAGAACAAAACTTGCACTTTACTCAAAACACCCCGACAATTTCGAAGCATCCGGGCCTTAGACCAGTCCCTTGTCCTAAGCAAGCCCATCATAGTGTTGTGGCCAAGGAAAACGAGTTCTCCACGCTCGGTCCGACGCATTCATTTCGTGCCGATAACAAAGCCCACCAACCCTGATTCGAGACGCGGTGACCCCTTAGCCTGTTGGATACACATAGGCCTTGGAAATTCCTGCAGAATCCGACGTGTATCACCAAATATTGCGCTCTCAGTCGCAATGACGCTGATATCGGACGTGAAGCAGGATGAGACGTCTTCGCCAGCTACAGTTCACTTTGAGGTGACTCTGCCACATCGTCAATGGCGTCCTCCAACACCGTATCCGAAGAACGTCGGCTCAGAGATCGGTCATCTCGGTACTACTCAGACCGACGATAGGCCTTCTGGGGCGCGTGGACTCGATATGCAGGACGAAACGACCGATGAAGATGTACAGAATGGCGGACAGGAACGTGGTTAGGGTGCCGATGTTAGGAGGACAAAGAAGAGCTGAAATTTGGGTGAAGATTTTTGTGATTGATATTGTTTCGAGAACGGATCATTCAACATCAGTATGTTGTTAGATAGTGCAGTACAATAACGCTTCTACAAGTTTAATGTTTCGTACTCGCGCACCCACGCTCGTCACGTAGGCTAAGCAAGAGACAATCCTAACGTCAAGAGAGGACCCTTGGCCTTCTGTGAACATCTCTTTGGACACCATTGGGCTCCGATGTCAGCCTTGGAGGTGCTTCCAGTGTACTTCGGTCGTTCTGTAGGACTATACATTTAATCACTGCCCTTGGATCAGTTTGAGAAACTCATCTCAGTCTCGACCAGGCTCACCGCCGACAGAAGCGCAGCATATTCCCACATTCAGCTCAATGAAGGACCATATGTTGATCGGAGCGGCATCTCTAATACGTTCGCTGGACTCTGTGTAGATCTTGATCGAATATAAACGCACGCAGCTCGCTATCGTAGAGAGTCCGCCTGCGAGGAATGCACAAGCAAGGCCGAGCTTTTGGGCACGCGGCCGCTGTATATTCCAGATGGTGCGTGCAGGTTGCGCAAGCATGATGAGATCGGTAACGATAGTGAATATGCCGGTTGCTGTGACTCGGGTAAGCAAGCGATCGTCTAGAAACACGACTGACGGACTAACAATAAAGAAAAGCGGTGATATCGATACAATGTCCGACGACTTCTGGTCGCCAGTACTTTTCGATTGGCCTACATTGTAGAGATGTGACCACGACTGTGCACATGAAATGTATCACTAGGAGCGATGCCATTGCAGTGGTGCTGTAGTACAGGGCACCTCGGGACTCACGACCTGGTCTCTGATCAATTTCGTTCACTCAAGTGAATCACGCCACGACATACTGAGTCTGAAATACTGCAACAAGATGGAGAGCTTGATCAAAAATTGCGTCAGAAAGTAGAAGCCTTCGATGGCGTAGAGAGACTGTGAGGACAGTCAGACCGTGATCACTCCTTGACGTAGGCTACACCCACGCCCGTCTTCAGTCCACTTGCGCTTCAAGAGGACGCCGTCATGTTGACCATCAACCTCAGTCCTCTGCCGTTTAGTTGGACTTGCGCTCCGACCCCTGCCTTGTCCAGTCGTGAAAGCTCGGCATTCCGAAGGCGTAAAAAATCTGGTTCCTTTCCTGCCGTCGAATTGACAGACTGATAGTCGGCGTGGTTGACCTGCTTGGAGGAATGTATGTAACTTCGGAAATATGTCCCACGCAAAGCGTGCGAACATGTACTGGCACTCTGTGCGCTGGTTCTGAAAAATCCTCGCGGGGTGGCGCAGCTTCTCTGCAACTTCTCTTTGTACATTTGTCCTCGGCTCTCCGTCGTTCGTCCCTGCGATATTGTCACCTGGCAGGGAAAACGGGTCGATCACGTCCACACATCGCCGTTCATCCTCGATCTTGGACTGGAGCACTCTACCTACCGCTTGCAAAACGGACTCCTTGAGCGGAGGAAAGCGTCGAAACATGTCGTACAGCTCTTCGAATCGTATGCTCCGGTGCTCGTAGATGCGACGCATCACTTCCTCGCCCAACAGGCGATGCAATTTGGGCAGATTCCTCACTAGGTTCGACTCTGGGAAGAAAGCGAGGGTCGGGAAGATGCCCACATCGAAAGCCTTTGTGACCGCTCCGATATGGACTTGGTCATCCTCAAAATAGCGGATGAGGTGTAGCATGATCTCATCCTGCAATTCGACCAAATGATCGAACTGGAATCTGAGCCACATGTCCACCATGATGTGTCCGACGTTCGTCTGTTGTGTTGGATGTAAGTCGGTCTGTGATCGGAAGAGACGGACATTATCGTCGGGCAATCGACCTGTCCTCCGCCACTCATGTAGACTGTGCCTACGACCCGTCAGCCGACGTCCCTGACAAGAGCGAATGACCCTACTGGGCTAGTGTCACGAACAAAGATTTGGTGGTACTGTCGATGGCTTCTGCAGCGGCCGTAGTCATTAGTATGGAGCTGACGATGTCGCGACTGCGTATATGGTAACTGCTCTTGGAGCTCGGAGAGAGAAGCAGACAGGCGAAACGAAGATGCGTTATACGTGGTCTGCGATGTTCTAGTGTGGTCTAAACTGCAGTGCTTGCCCGCTCAGATATAGCGATCGCAGACTGCTTGAGTCATCTGCAAGCTGACGCAGCTGCAAGTGGTTCGGCTCAAAGTGATCGTTCGCATGCGGCAGAGGAATTGTCATGATATGGTGGATATTGAATCAACGTGTCGAACAACTCTGCGAACCGCGACTCATCATTGGCGCCTCCCGTCGTCATCGTCGCCTCCCCAATAAGACTGATCGGCTTCGTATTGTTAGCTCCATGTGTACAGTCGGATGCGGTTTGCCGGGTAGACAACTTTCGCTCATCCATCACAGTGCTCACGAAAGCCGTCGGAACACAATGCAGCAGGTCCATTGCTTCTCTGTTTTTGGTAAGTCGTTGGCAACTGTGCAAGGTTTCGCAGGCGTACACAGGCTGCACTTGCGTTGGATCAATATCCTGCCAACGCGTCTCGTGCTCAAAGATAGAAGGCAAGATCTTGGAGCACGAGCGCCCAGTCCGCCTCATTGTATCGGGGGTATCTTTTGGACATGTACAATGGGAGGTTCATCTCTGTCGCAAAAGCTGAGATTGGATCTGGTAGAGAGATGTGTGTCGGAGACGGAGCGAATTATAAAGAGCCCTAGCACTTCTTTTACTTTCCGCCTAGTTCATCGTTCTATTGCGTTGCTGGTCGCTCTACTCTGCAACACCTACGTGACGGCTGCGGGATCCACTTGCACTGACATCCATTGTATCTGTCTTGTCCTCTACCGCGCTCAGTGGCGCTCCATCTTCCTTCTCCGATTGCGGAGACTCTTCATCACTAGGGTAAGACGGTGGCGAGTCTTTGGCGCTGCCGTTTACGATGTCATAATCTTCCGTGATAGCGTCCGCGCCCTGCACGTACTCTACCATGTTCAAGTCGACGCTATGCATGGGGAAGGGAAGCTTGCAGAAGGTCCGTCCGCCACGTTTCTGGCAATCCTGTCGCTGACAAATATGCCCATTGCGACAGCTAAGAGAGCGACACGCCTGACGACGTGGACACGGTGCGTGGTGGGCTACTTCTTGCAGACAATTCTTGATGCCCTCATTGATGGGCGAATGATCGTACTGCTAGTGAGTTAGCTACATGTTTGGGAGTTCACAAGTTGCTGCACATTCAAGGTCCCCTACCGGCAGACAGCTGGAAATGCAAAGTGTGACCTACCTGACAAGCTACGCCATTCGAACAGTATCCGTTGAGGTGGTGGGAGTTGCAAAGCTTCTGCCTTGCAATTCTGGCCCTGAACTGGGCTCGGTCTTCTGCACTAGTTGGTGGAGTATAGTGGTCGAGTCGTTCCTGACGAGCATTGACCGGTATCTTGTTTGCCGGTGCGCTGCCTTCTCGTGGCAGCACTGTAAAGTCAGGGATTATGTTGGCGAACGTACTGCTGCCAGTCATAAATCCATTGTCCGATTTGGCTAGTAATGTCATCTGGAATGGATCGGTCTTCGTCAGGGTTGGCCAGTCCGTACCATCGGTCACACTCGACTGCGACTTCCCCTTCATAGATTCTTTGACGTGAGCAAATTTGCAGCCTTTGCCGTAGAACGTGCAGGGTTCTAGTAGTTTCAGGTTAGCGAACGGTTCCTTCACCTCGAACTCTGGCGCTCCGCAGTAATTAAACTCACCTGCATCAATTGATGCAGCACTGGCGTGGCGGGGTGCTGCTGGGAGAGGTGAGGTAACAGGCTTCGACGGGGTCGGGGGTCGCGGCATGTCCATGGTGCCGCCTGAGTAGGACGGAGATGGGAGAGCAGTGGCTCTAAAGATGCCGGGAAACTCTTCTGTGCGAAGACCTAGCTTGGCGTATTCCTTGTGGAAGGCATAGTTGCGCACCAGCGTAATGCGGTCGCGCTGACTTGTGTATGAGGTCAGCTCCGATAGGTAGCCTACATCATGGCAGGCTGCAAAGTAGATGTGTCGACACTGAGTGTTTTCGACGAATTGGCGGAAAAGACCCCTTATCTTGAAGTCGGCATTTTCCTTGAGTTCTCCAGCATCTACGAAGTCGAAGAGACCACTTGATCTGTGAACACATTAGAAGCTGGCCAACCACAAACAAAACAACGGCTTGGCTTTGATCATGTGCTCAGCCAAGAAAGAAGGATCAATTCAGTGACTTACCGGTTGAAGTTGGCGACAAATGGCGCCAGAGAGCGTTTCTCGGGTCCAACTAAACCAACCTTCGAGACAGCTTTCGAGAGGCCAGCGACGTTGGCGTAGATACGGACCATGACATTGCAAACCTGGGCGGTTCCGCAGGCTTCTCTGGACAGCATCATTGAGCAGCTGGGCAGCCCTTGAGCCGCCCTCGGCCTTGCTTTCGAGCAAGTCATCGTCAAACACATATCCGTCGCCATCGACAAGGACTAGCACCTGCTATAGCGTCAGCTCTGCCAGCATCTGTCAAGAAACTTTGTGGTCGAGATATGGGCGCTGGAAGCTTAAGGCGTTGCAAACACCGCAAAGAGCACAACCTCCCACCCCCAATCCTCTTCAAAACAGAAAACCTTCGACTTACAAACGGATTCCTCTCCCCACCCTTCGCCAAAGACTTATACCTCTCCCTCCAGTCCCTCGCCTCCTCGAAGTCACTCTTCAAATGCTTGAAGTCTTCTATAAGAGCCGCATACTTGTTCAGAATATCGGCATGGTTCCGGTGGTACTCGTTGTCCTTGATGCGGAACTGTGCCAGCTGATCTGCAGCTTGGGTGAGTTCCTTGTCGGAGAGCATCCTTGGAAGTTAGACGCGTTTGTTAGGTGAAGAGGATCTTGGGTAGTGTTTATGCCAGCATGTCTCAGGTAGCGCTCTTGGGGGCTCTCTGGAACCAGGGTACTCCGTGCGGCAGGTTTTACCGCAATTCTCAAAAACGGAACATGCAGGGGTGTTGAAGCTTACTTCGGGGACCAAGCGAGCGCGTCCTCTGGCCTCACTAAACGTGACGGCTTTGTTGACTTTAGTGGAAATTGTCGTGATCAGACAAGATAAGTACTAGCACACAGAATGCCTTACGTGTCGGCGTTGCAGTCGAGTATGCAACTGCTAGAGTTAAGCACCAGTAGGAGTCTGGCATCTAATTGCAGCACTTCGAACTCTAGATCGGAATAGATAAGTCTCTGTATTCGAGAAGCTGTCTCGACCAGTCTGGCGTAATGGGAAATGGATGCGAAGGTGATAGTGCCTAAGCGAGGGATAGATGTCTTTCCGTGATGCAAGATGGGGATAAAGGTGAGTGTCGATAAAAGGCAGTCATGTTGTTGTAGCTGCACACCGAGTGCGTTATTTGTCCTCCACTCTCAGACACCGAGAGTCTCCACTCGCGTGGTATATCTGCCTCCTCGTACCATGCAGAGATGTGAACACGTCCTTTGTAGATGACAAAAAGTGAGGTCGCATAGCCAGCAGCACAGATGCTCTGGATGACGGTAACCCACTCGCGGTTGCCCAGCTGGACCGTCGCTCTGATCCAGTGACCACTTTCATGGACCCAATAATACCCATCTGGCGAATATATAAGGACGGAAAGTAGTCTTAGCTAGAAAAAACAACAACAAGAAGACCTCTCACTCTTCTAACCGCCACTACTAACTATTCTCTCTACCTACTACTTCTCTCTACCACTTCCACCTTCCGCTACAGCACTCATAGCTTTTTATACGTTCCATGGTATCGGCGAGTATTGTATGTTTTGGCCGCATGTCGAGGGCTTCGAAATTGGCGCTAGCGGTAGGCAGAGAGCGCAAGAATGATTCTGCCTTCTTGATTAGATGACAGCGCGTTATGTTGTGGAGACATTGTGTACTGAATGGAAAGGCTCTTTGGTGTGTTCCACTCAGTGCCCAAGTTAGTAAAGATAGGTTAAGATACTTAGCTTTCGAACTAGGGCCAAATTATGACTTTCCAAAAGCTGCTCGGATGACCTAATGCAGGTCTATAAGCTCTTCCTTGCCTCCATGTTGAATCGTGCAAAAACTCTGTCTGTGGCTGTGGATGGCTTCCCTCCGTGATGAGACACCAGTTCGCAGAGCGCATCGGTCTGTTCAATGCGTACTAGAGTGTTTTCGTACACATATTGTAGAAGCGCAATAATATTTGGAGGACGCACTCCAAAATTTGTAGAGTGCGTGAAGTGATCGAATATCGTATTGATCAGCTAGAACGTAGAGCTGCACGTGCGAAATCAAGACTTCACCTAGCCCTCCATCGCAACTGTAGTCTATCCGCCGTGCCGTCGTCGTTTGTGGTGCTGGAAACGAAAGATGCTAAAGCTCTTGTTTAGGACGCGGAACAGCCCGCCTAGACAGCAATATCAGTGTGGTGTGGTGCGGCCCGCTTTCCGCCTAGACAGCTGAGTTGTATCACTCGATGCAGATCACTTCTTCGCAGGATACAAATTATGATTTTTGGCGTCCTTCACATCATCATTCTGCCTTTCTGCACTGCTTGGAAGGTTCTCATTCTTGGACGCTTACTGTCGTTACTAAACGCATTGTCGGAACGAACTTTGTTGCACATAGCTCGGATTTACTAGATTCACACGTTCTCAGCCCCGATACGTGTGCTAGCCTTTCATTTCGCACCTCATTACTTTTTCCTAATGCGGGATCCGCCGCCTGTTTGTGTCTATAAAGTAAGACTGCGAGCATAGAAACATTTAGGCAGGTAGAAGGATCCTTTACTAATTGCTTTTGCTAGGACACATCTATAAGAACCCCTGAAGTCTAATTGCGACAAAGACACTATATTGGTTGTGAGTTCTCTGTGGAGCAAGTCCACCTATACCAATGCTGCCCCAGCTACTGTTCCTCTTAGGTTTACACGATAGCCTTACTTGCAACATAGGAGGACGCACTTCGTAAAAACCTCACAACTAGGAGTAGCATGTATAACCACCACCATGACGCATGTCTAGAACGATAAGCATAACATTACTGTCTAGGCAGACTAATGTCCATCTTATTAATAGCAGGGGTTCGTAACGTTTGTGCCCAACCCTGTACCGGCATTGCTCTCACCCGATATGAGAAATTTCTGGATCATCGGTTCCACAATGACGCTTCCGACCTCGATCTTGACCGATTTGAACGCCAGTGTTGGGATGCCATTGACCACATCCACTCCCTCGGCCTCGCTCACGACGATCTCAACCCCTCTAATATCGCACTCGACAGTCGCGACGATCGTGCAAGGAGTTCGGAGGACTGCTTCTGTCAGCTGGGACACCTGGATAGATAGAAGACGACTTTGATGTTTCCAGAAAAGAGCACGATATTTTGGCACTGGATAAAATCATAGCTTGGATGAAGGTGGAGAAGGATAAGTCGTCGATCCTATTTACGAGGACGAGATGAAGGAGTTCGCTGCTCAATGTATGCCGGGGCTAGCCATAGATCTACTCTGCACTAGACTGTCTGGACTAAGTCAATACATGCGTGCCACTGGCGCTTGCCACGGTGTCATCTTAGTATGTAGGACCTCCCGCGGGCCACGCATCACTACTACTTAGGGCATTCCCCAAGCCGTCATCTTCGAAGCTACGGGATGCTACGACAACCCGATCTGACGTGTGCGTACTTGGCTTTTGAGTTAAGATCGAACAGTATGCAGACAGCCCTGCTCCCTCGATTTCTTGCAGTCCTTCTTCAGCCTCGCCAGCAGCCGTGCACTTCCTTTTCTTTGCTTGCCGCTTACTCACTTTGTGAGGAGCTTTTCTTGCAGCTCTCTCCTTCTTCTCAGCATCCTTACGATCTCGTATCTTTACTGCTTCGACAAACGATAGCCTCGCAACACGCAACCCACCCTGCCCGAAATGGACAGGCCTTGGATGCCGCATCATCGCCCGCCGAAACAACTGGTGGATGTCCAATCCAAGTCTGGCCTGTCGAATGCTGCGGTGCGACACCTATCGGGCGTACGAAAACCCGGGTCGTGGGTGTCGGTGTTCTGCACCTGGGAGGCAAAAATAACTCGCCGCGCAAGCTTACTCCGCCCGCCGAGGAGCAACAGAAACATACATTGTCGCTGTGGATCTCGAACAATTCAGAATCACCAACCGACATCATTTGAGACGAACGCTCGATGGCTACAGCGTCGCACGTACGAACGACCTACCGAACCCCCAGTAGTATGGTTATACTCAAGGTCGACTTCGCGGGATCCTAAAAGAATACCTCATCGCAAACGATATCCCTAGAGAGGCGGTTTTGGTCTAGGTATGCCAGCATACTGGTACATCTAGGTGTATTGCACGTTCCAGGGGCATTAGCAAGAGAGGCGGGCAGACCAGACCAAGATTCGATTCGAAGGTGGATTAAAATGGAAGTGTATTCATGCACTAGTATCCGGGATACAGGAGCAGTGCAGCGTCTGATACGAGATGTGTATCGATGCGTAGGACTACGACCTGGATATATAGGTTGGTCTACATCCCGCACGTTTGCCAGCCTTCTAAACGCTTCACGAGGAGATTGTAGAAGCCTTGCGAATGCGAGATCCCAGGGTCGCCCCGGTTACGCTATAGACAACACTCATATTAGTGTATAGCTAACAGAGGGTGTAGTAGATCAAATACCGTAGCAACCTCCGATAGCACACATGTCTTGAAAAATAGGTTTCAAAATAGATGCTCAGCAACGCCAGCTCCAGTCGGACCGTACATCCCTACAGCATGGACTTCGTCGAGGGGTCGGAATTTTATGTTTCCCAGTGCCGATCGTGAGGATGCATTTTACTAAGTACTATTTTTTCCATGCCGTTTGCCCTTAGCTTAGCAGTGTTTGCAGGAGTGCAATCTGCTTCCGACTTTCTTCCCTTTGTTCCTCCATCTGCCTCCGACTGTCCTCTCTCTGTTCCTCCATCTGCTCTTACTGTTGCTCCAGCTGAGCCTTATACATCTGTTCTGTCTTCGCCATCTGTTGTTTTATTAAGGTCAGCTCCCTTTAACTTCCTCGACTTTTAGCTCGACGAAGCGGTAGCCTGGACGAGTGCCTCTCTTGCGAAGACTGTTCGCTCGCTAGCGTCTTATCTCAACCGACACTAGTATCCGAGACTATAGATGTTGTCCACGGATCGGGCAGACAGGCAATAGCATTTTTATCCTTTTCAGATGCTAGGGATAGAAGTCGCAGTAGACAGCGCGAGTGAAGTTGGATCCCGTGTTTCTGTCTCGCCCGTAGTAGTTATCGAGGCTAGAATTGTTAATGTAGTACTAATAAGAGGAAAGTGACCGTATATCTTAACTCTCTTATTGTTATGGGAGACGGTAAAGACGAGGATTTGGCCGCCGAGGCGTTGAACGCAGTTTTCTCCTCTAGCGCGACACAGCTAAACGATCGCATTGACCGCGATGTTAGCGCTGTGTACGTTCTGTCGGTCGGCGTTATTAATATTCTTCTTTCTGCATTTGGCCTCGTATACGAGGAAAGAGAGGTATACTGTGAACTTGGTACGGTTATCTATATTCGTGTAGCTCTCGAGCTTGTAGCGCTCCTCTTTAGTAAAAGTTGCTAATAACAAGCTGTATATTTAGTCGGGCCTTGGCTGCGTGCCGCCTAGCAGATTATATTTGGTCCAATCTACGGACATCTCTTCCTAGATGTTTTACAAAGTGGTTTCTCTATTAAGGATATACAACAGCTCTACTGGAGGTAGGATGTGAGGTGTTAGGTCCTAACACACCCGTTCCTTATTGCACATGCTCGCACGCTAGAAAAGTTCCATGTATGTGTCCTTAGAGCATAAGTTATACGCTAGAGCGAATTCCTTCAGACCTAATAGAGCCTAGCACATGTCTTTGCTGTTAGCAGGCGGGGTTTGCCTCAAGTTCAGCAATGACGCGTCCACCTTCTGCCCGTACTCTCCTGCGGACGTATACTTAGGAGGGATCTTCTCGGCGGAGTCGTGGATATGGTTTTGGATCCAGAGCTCGTTGTCGATGAACACAGTCTTGTTGAAAGTTCTCGTATTTAACAACACGAGCAACGCACTTCCCAACGTCTCTGACATCCGTCAGCGCCGTCGGAATGTTGCCGTCGCCTGGAATCGCCAGACAGAAGCCTCGGGGAGGAGAATTGATACCACCACCCTACGTCGATGGAAGATCTCTCTGTGCTCACACTGGCTCTGACATCTGAAAATAGGTGTTTGGGTGCCAAGACCCGCTGCACGTAATCTAGACAGAAACTTCCTTATCTGCCTCAAAATGTCAGTATACACCCTTCGTAAATTCGGGCTTGGGTAGTTGGAAAAAGAGCGTTTGTTGAGGCTAGAGTCCAATAGCGAGCAGTGGGAATACAGGACTAAATGCAGTCACTACTGTAACTGCAGCCTCCTATTGCTCGCCTATGCGCACAGACCCCCTTCTTCTATGCTCGCACTAGCTCTGACATTCAAAAATATTGGACTTGCAGATGCCGAGATCGCTAGCCAGGAGAACCGCAACACCAGTTATACCATCCGGCTCATCGATACAGCTAGGTGCTAACGAAGTTGTATCTCTTTCGTTAGACGCTTAAAGACTTATCGAACTTTGATGTGGGTTTTCTCGAGGTGGCAACATATAGTTCTAGCCAAGCACAATTTGAGGTTCGTTAGCGGCCTTGGAATCGCCTAGACAGCGACTGACGTAATTTGGTTAACGTCCACTTGTTTGTAGCAGTTAGACGCTGCAAGGCTTCATCCGCTTGGAGCAGTTTTAGGGGAGACTGTCTAGAACATTGAACCTTCAAAAACGTTCCCTCAAAACAATAGACATGATCTTGATGAGCATGCCATTTCATCCCATTTCGTGCCATTGCTTCGAAAATGCTAATGCTATTGGTAACGTTATACTATATTGGAGCTTGGGGCTGGGGGTACTAGAGAGTTGATAAGAGTCGCAGTCTGGATAAGGTCCATTATTCAGTTAGCCGTCATCACAATCTTGGCGGAGCAAGTTATTATGAGGCACGGGCAGCCAGCCAGTCGTAGTTTAGGAGAGAGCGTTTCTGGGAGAAACTATTCTTTGGCGACTACATACTGGTTAGCAGATGCAGATGCTCTCATCTTGTGATGGTAGTTCGCATGCTTCTTGTGCTCCTACCGCAAACGTCGTACCTGCTAGACCATGGAGTTCTGGAAAGCGGCGTCGAGGGTCTCGGCCAGGCGCCCGTTGCCGAATTGGCCAAAATGCGATGCTGGCGTTATGTTCTCTCAAATCAGGCGGGAGAGCATTAATGCGGGTATGGAATGTCGCCTCTTCCCCCTCGCCCACCTGAGCTTTTCGGCGTCAGTCCGGCCAATTGTCTTGGGACGCTACGTCTCCTCTGATTATCTTCGAGAAGCTGCTTGATGTGCTGGAGGCACGTCTGGACCGGCCATGCCGTTGCCTCGATTATTACTACCGCTTATTGTTCGAGGCCGCTCACGAGTTCGGATTTGTCGACACGCGAAGTATGCAGGTCGAGTCGAATGCGGCCGACTTTAGGGTCGTATTATTCCTTCAATGGGCGGTCCCTCGCGAACTGCTGGATTGCGTGGGTGTGAAATGTCGGGTCCCCAAAGATGTTTTGTTGTCTGCTTCGGCATGGAGCTGGCAAGGTGATGGAAACGAAGAACACATGGAGCCCTAAATCCCTCGGATTGATGTCGCGCGTGCATTGTGCATATGCACTGGTCTAAGGACGTGCTCGAACCCTGCTGCTGAGCCGTTGACGAGGATATGCCAAAAGATCTGAGGGAGATGGAGCCGTGAAAATCACGTTCGATATTATGCTACGGTATTTGGGTCGCCGTTCAGAGGGTGAGCATTCACTGTCTCCTTGGTTTCTTCAATG